AGCTTGTCAAAGACAATGTCCCTACACAAGCATGAATTAAAGATAAAGCCTTGGTCTTCCTTTGATGTTTCCCCCGACAGGTGTAATCTGAGGAAACATGTTTTTAATTAGCCTGCCTGGCTTTTTAAAAATACAAGTGTATTCTGTAAATACCAGCTTACATCTGTGTCTATAGCTATATATTTACATATCTAACCCTCTTCTTATACACCTGTACACAAACAAACACTAATGATGGGCGCTTACCGCTGCTGTTCTCCTGTTGTGTATGTGATTATAAAGAATTGTCACATTAAGACATTCAATCCCTTTTTACCCTGAAGCTTGCTAACTCATTTGCTGTAGTCAGCAAATGGAGCTGGTTCTGGACTTGAGAGTGACCCATTACAAATAAAAATGCTTGCCAGTGGGAAAAGGACAGCCTGGGTCCTTCTCTCCTGCTTTATCAGCATACTTGGGGTACAGCACAGGCAATACTGACCTTTTCCCGTTACATTCTGATAATTTATTCGGCCTTCAGGTTTCAGGCAACCATAAACTCAGCCCTGCCCCAGTAGCTCACTATTAAAAGGCTCATTCTCTGAGTTTAGAAACAGGGAAGATGGCTAAAGCAGAGTTTCTCTTATGACGATTGGAACTCTGTACCAGGTTATCCAACTTGGACAAGCTGAGCTTTATTTATTTACTCATTTGGTTGCTGTGATTATCCAAACTACCCCAGCCACATGAAGCTGTGTGCAATTCGAGAGAGGCTACACCTTAGATGAATTTGGCTCCTTTTGTACATTCTTAAGGGGGGGTGATTAGAGCTGCAGTAACAATTCGGCAGTCAGGGTTCAAGCAGCTGTTAGCAACTTTCTGAGCAAACACCAGTAGCCTGGAGGTAAAAGCAAAACAGAGTTACCATTTCTAAATGTCCCATGTAATTGAGCAGGAATAATGAAAACAAAGAATCAAAAAAAAAAGAAAACAAGCCCTCCAGCGTGTAAACAAATAGTTCAGATGCACCGATTCCTCCTGGCATCAACATACTTGCCATCGGAACAGCTCCGCGCTAATCTTGTTTAACGCAAACACTTCTGAACCCTTCCCTTGGCGTGGGAGATAATTTTAGTGCTTCTCAGCCTTTTTCAGCTGGAATGCTGGAACAACTGTGCTTGCCATGACCCATTCATTTCTCGGCATCTTCTGTTGACGGGAGAGCTGGAAATTCACCTCCCAGCACTTTGACCAACACGAGGTAAAGACGAGCTTGTGCTTGGCCAGCATGGGCTGGGTGGAGGGGCTTGGGGGAAGGCAAATCCTTCGGGACAGAGAGTTGGTGGGAAAGCCCCAAGTGTGGAGGGAGGGTTTGAAACTGCGGCCATTTCTCTCGTTTCTCATTTAACTTTGCCTTGATCCCAGCTGGGGACCTGTGACCCCACGACCACCTCATGCACCCGCTCGGGAAAGCAGGAACGAGGAACTGGCAGGAGATTGTGGGTCACCAGACACTTTCATAAATGCCTACAGTCAGTGGGGGCTAAATGCTTAAAAACTAAACTGTGTGTCCTTCCTCCTGGACTGCTTAGAAAGCCTTTTCTGACTGCTAGTTTGAATTACCTTGTGGCCATTTTCTCAATATCTATTCACGTGATAAAGCGGACGTTTTTGTTTTGCCT